GAGAGGCAGAAAACAGGAAACTATAAGCCAGTTAGTTTGACACCTGGTGTGGGGAAGGCATTAAAGACGATCTTTAAAGAGATTGTAGCTGCGTACTTGAGAAAACTGAAGGTAACCAGGAAGGGGCAGCATAGTTTTGTGCAACCAGAATTGTTTAGCCAATTGTTATTCCTTTGAAGGAGTAACATGCATTTTGGTAAAGAAGGCCATGTAAATGTTTTGTACTTGGATTTCCAGAAGCCATTTGGTAAGGTGCCACATCACAGGTTATTGCAGAAAATAGAGCTTATGGTGTAGAGCTAACATTGGCGTACAAATGAGATTGGTTGGATGATACAAAACACAGCACGCATAAAAGGGTTTTTGTCTGATTAGCAGGATGTGACAAGTGGAGTTCCGCAAGGGCGGTATGGTGGCTCATTGGTTAGCACTGCTGCCTCACAGTGCCAGGGACCCAGGTTCAATTCCACCCTTGGAGTGCGGAGTTACACCTTCTTCTTGTGTCTGTGTGGGTTCCCTCTGGGTGCTCGGGTTTCCTCCCACGGTCCAAAGATGTGCCGGTTAGGTTGATTGGCCATGCTAAATTGCCCATAGTGTCTAGGGGTGTGTAAGTTAGGTGGATTAGAGGTGGGGGATGCAGGGTTATAGGGAAAGGGTAGGGAGATGGGATGCTCTTCAGAAGGGCAGTGTGGACTTGTTGGGTCGAATGGCCTGTTTCCACATTGTAGGGATTCTATGAATTTCTAAGTGGGGAAAAAAAGAGCCTGTGCTGGGGCCTCAACTTGTTAGAATTTAGGTCAGTGTGTTAGATAAGGGCAACAAAGGCATGGTAGTTAAATTCAAAATGACACAAAAATGCTTCAATAAAGAATGGCTGCGGACTTCCGAGGTGCACAGGGATTTGAGTTATTTAGTTTTTTTTAATTCATTCATGGGATGAGGGTGTCATTGGCCAGGCAGCATTTATTGCCCAACTCAGTTGCCCAGAGGACAGTTCAGAGTCAACCACATCGCTGAGAGTTTGGAGTCGCATGTAGGCCAGACCAGATAAGGATGGCAGTTTCCTTCCCTGAAGGATGGGTTTTTCCTGATTAATCGACAATGGATTCATGGTCATTATTAGATCCTTAATTCCTGATATTTATTGAATTCAAATTCCACCATCTGCCATGGCGGGATTCAAACCCAGGTCCCCAGAACATTATCTGAGTCTCTGGATTAACAGTCCAGCAATAATACCACTAGGCCATTGTCTCCCCTGGTATGAATTACACAGTTGGTAATCCAGTAGAGCATGTCATGAAGTGATGTAATGTAATGGAATGCTGTCCATTTATTACGAGAGGGTTTAAACATAAAAGTAAGGATATTATGCTTCTGTTATACAGAACACTAATGAGACCTCATCTCAAATACTGCGCACAGTTTTGGTCTCCTTATTTAAGGAAGCACATAACTGTTGAAGGCAGTTCACAGAAGAATTAGATTGATAAGTGGAATGGTTGGACTGTCATGGGGATAGGTTGGACAGGCTGGGCATGTTTTCACTGAAATTTAGAAGAGTGAAGGCTAACTTGATTGAATTGTATAAGATCCTGAATTATCTTGACCAGGCGAACTTGGAAAGAGTGTTTCCTCTTATGGCTAAATTCAGAACCGGGGACTGTAAAAGTTAGAGGGTTGTCCTTTTAGGTTCAAACATGAGCAAGAAAATCTACTGCTTGCTGCCTCCTCCTCCTCTTTTCTCTCTCCCTGTGTATCTGTCTCTGTCTCCCACTTTTCTCTCTCCCATTCTTTCTCTGTTGAAAATCATGTGGAGCCATGAGGGGCTGTGGACCATTAACTGTAAAATTGCATTCAACCACAATCTTTTAGACCTCAAATTCCCACTCCACCATTACAACGAATCCAGGAGGTCAATCCTGGTTCAATGAAAAGTGCAGGAGGCATTCAAGAGCTGCATGTGATGTTCACTGATGATTTCATAATGTTGAGCCCCGTTTGCCCTCCTCTAATCAACATTCCCTCTAAGCTGTGCGCAACCATTCCAATCTTCCGCGCACAGCAATTGCCGCTACTATGCACAGGTTTCAGAGGTCCACGCAGTCGTTAAGAAAATTGGACGGAATAGTGCCTCCATTACTGGCCATTTCTAAATGCAGCAGGATCTAGTCAATATCTAGGCTTGGACTGATAAGAGGCAAGTAACATTCGTGCTTGCAAGTGTTAGACACTGATCATCTCCAGCACAGGAGAGAATCCGACCGTCAGCCTTGACAAACAATAGAGTTGCCACTACTGAATCCCCCACTCTCAACATTGAGAGTTACTATTGAAACTGAACTGAATAAGCCATGTATAATTAGGGTCAAAGGGACAGGCCAAAGTCTGGCAATTCTAAAGTAAGTGAGTCATTTCATGATATCAAAGCAATGGGAACAAGACAGTGCAATGGAATAATTCCCACTTGCACTGATGAGTGCAATTTAAATAGCAGTCAAGAAACTTGACACCATCGATGACAAAGCAGCTTGCTTGAATGACATCACATCTACAAACATTTACTGCCAGAACTTCCAACGCAATAGCAGCAGTGTGTACCATCTATAAGGTACACTGCAGAAAATCACCAGGGCTGTTTAGAGAGCACTTTCCAAAACAATGACTACTACCATCTCAAAAGTCAAGGGTGGAAGAGTTATTGGAACACCTCCACCTGCAAGTTTTCCTTTAAGCCAGGCACCACCTTGACTTGGGAGTATGTTGCCATTCTTCCAGTGTCACTGTTCCAGGGACAAAGTCCTGGATCTCCCATCCTAACAGCACTCTGGGTGTTCCTGCACCAACTGACTGCAAGGGTTCAGAAGGGCAGCTCATCTTACTTCCTCAAGGGCATTTTTGATTGGGGCTCACTGCCTGACTTTATTTAATAATACGAGAAACTTCTTAACAACTAAGAGTGAGGTGAATTTCCAACTGATGTCCAACATCCTCACACCTCTCGGAGATATTTTAGCAATAAATTAGAAATGAGCTGAGTGAGAGAGAGAGAATATTTGTCAATTCATGTCTTGTGAGATCTTTTTGTTTGGGTGGAGGTGTGTGATGCTTCTGAGGCCACACCTCTTTGGAAGGTATAACACTGTGGATGTGCATTTGATGCAAAACTTTTACAACCTCACATACTGGTGCTGCCACCTTTTAATGATTCACTCTGCCTGTTTACTTCCCATTTACAGGACTGCTCAGTTTATATTATAAAAGGCAGTTATGTGGGACCTTTTGCTGCTCTGGTGCTTTGAGCTGCTTTCGAACAAATCCCTTCACAGCACACGAGCTAGGAAACACCTTTCAAATTGCAGGTACAGTTGAAACCCAATAACTTAGACTCCCTGTTAAAATTGTCCTTTTTATCAAGTGACTGCCATTAAGGAAAGATACTGAGTAAATTAGATGCAGTGCAGTTTACATTATGCTGTTGGGATGGTATTTGGTTGCTAAACTAATATCAATGGAAATAGTTTACTTCCATAGAAGTCACAACTTAAGCCTGCAATCAGAATCATGTCCACGATTCTAAAGAGAATCCACTGTAAATCTCAGATTATGTGGTTCCACAATAATTTTTGTTTTGACCATGTATTGCTGACTTTAGTATGTCAGCAGTTGTACCTTGGATAATTACATTTATATATAGTTAGGAGTGTTTGATTAAAACTTCATTTGAACAAAAATGAAAAAGAACTTGCATTTATATAAGCACCTTTCTCAATTATTTCTCAAAGCACTTCACAGTCCATTAAGCATTTGTGAAGTGTTCAGTGTTGTGATGTAGTGAAATAAAGCAGTGATTTGCATCCAGCCACAAACCACCAACAACATTCAACTAACGCTATTTGTGTGACATTGGTTAGGAAGGAACATTTGGCTTGGGAGAACCTCTCTTCATGGATTCATTTTGTGGGAATTTTATGTTCATCAGAAAAGTAGGCGTTGTTTTCTGGTTTTTTCTCTAGATGCTTTTTGTTCTGTCCAGTAAGGCTGCAGTCCATTTTAAGTACAGGAAGTACCCTTTTAGTGTGACTTCATCTTTAAAGTGGATCTGGAGGGAAATCCCATTTACTTCTCCCCTCACCAGCCTGGTCTGAACCACTCCCAGTCTTCAGCAACTTGACCCAGTCCACCCAGGTTTTCTCTTCATCTCTCAACATACTTTGAAGCCTGTAAAATTTGTTATATTTTGGATTCATTGCTGACCAGCCCTGCAGAAGTGCCTAATCTCTGATCAAATAATTGGCTAATTCATGCTTGTCCATTGCAGTCTTCTGAGCTGTTAGTTTTCTAAAACAGTTCCCAATAATACAAACAAATCAGAAAGATACCAAATACGGAAACAGATTTAAAAAAATAAGCTGATGAATTGTTGGCCCTATTATTTTTTACAACACTGCTGAGTTGATGGTCAGTTGGTGTATTGTATATATTGAATTCTCCTTCACTGTTTGGAACTCCAAGTCTATTGTTGACCAATTTAAAATGCAAACTTGAGTTCTCTTGTTCAAATTTCAGAAAGCTTTTATTGTGTTGCAGGTATATATTGGAAAATTTGCTGTTTCCTTTCTCCTAAGGTGATTTGTGATGGGATATGATTAATGCAGATTTTGCAATCATTTCAGTACCTTGCACGCATAGCCATTTTTACTTTTACTTGGACATTGGTTTGCTGATTGACAGCAGAGTAACATAGTAAAACTAAATTCTGGCCAAACCAAATGTGTTCTTTCTAGAAGAAAGTGAACTTGACTTCTTTCTGTTCTGCTTTCATAGCAAGAAAATTCGTGCCATGTAGTTTTGGAGTTGAGATCAGGTAAACTGCTACAGAGCAGGGATCAAATTTAATGCTTCCTGAATTTATATAATTTTTTACCACTCAGCCATTGGGAAAATTCTAAACTTAGATTTTAATGTTGCAGTAATGTAGTTTCCCTCCCTTCTTTCAGGAACATCATTTGCAGAGAGCTATTTCAGCACAGCAGGTCTTCAGAGAAAAACGGGAGAATATGGTTATTCCTGTGCCCGAGGCAGAGAGTAATGTCTCCTACTATGATCGTCTATACAGGGGAGAATTCAAGGTTCCAAAACAGCTCATTCATATTCAGCGTAAGTCATTTACCATCTGATTACCACCACTTTTGTTGCTTTGGGATCCTTTAAGATGATTCCAGTTTGTGAAGAAGATTCATTTTCAGTTGATTGCTAATTGATTGATTGGCTGTTTGTTTTAAAATTTCATTCTTTCATATTCTGTTGTAACCTTTAAAATTGTTTATCTCCTCCTGAATATAAATGAATTAAGGCAAACTTTATAATGAGGAGCATGACTATTTCTTTTTGTGAGGTTTTCTTTCACTTAAATCCTTTCCTATGATATAGATATATAGATACAGTTGTGAAAATTATGAAAGAACTATTACGTGGTTTCCCTCATTTTTCTCAAAGCACATCAGTATTTAGTGACCGAAAATGGCCACTGTAATTTTGTTCTGGAAAATTTGATTACTTGTGATTTACTCTAACATAGCTAAGTTATAATTAATTGGATGTTAATATTAATGTTATTTTCATTTCTTTATTTGATTCAAAACAGAGGAAGATTGGTTTTAATTTATGTATTCTTGCAGCATTAGCAGCTTTTCTTAAGCATTGAATTGTTAACGCATTAATTGTAATATCCTCTTTGCTAATTAAATTCTAACCCATCTAAAGCTTTGCATTAATTTTTCTGCATTTAAAAAAATTCTGATTGTATTTTGCAGCTTTTAATCTGGATAGTGAACAGCCAGATTATGATATGGATTCTGAAGATGAGGTCTTATTCAACCGCCTGAATAGAAAGATAGAGATCAAACCGTTGCAGTTTGAAGAGATGTTTGACCGACTGGAAAAAGCTAGTGGAAATCAGGTACTGATGTATTAGCTGCCAAAAACAACAAATTTTGGTTGCAAAACTTAAATTGTTTAGGGCCACATCATGAGGACAGGTAACTTAAGAGCAGGAGATGTATGAATGTAACTTTGCTCACTTGCCTCTGTTTGATAATGTTGGTGACAGTTGGTTTGAGCTGATTTTTAGCTGCTCTAGAGACCAGAACTTATCATATACTTAATTGAATAATGAATTTGCTGCCCTTACTATCCTTTCATGCTGTAGAATTTGTAGCATTTTGGAAAAAAATAGTTGTTCAGTGTGCTGAGAGATTCACTTTTTATTCAGTTGTCCATTATATCAGATTCTCGATTGGAATGTGTCGTCAAAATTAGATGTGTGAGATACAAAATGCAAGGACTCGGAACTTAATGCTGATGTTTGGTGAGAACACACTTTAGAGTATTGTGTGCAGTTCTTTCCTCCATATCTAAGGAACAAAATACCTTGGTGACAAAACAGCAAAAGTTCACTGGATTAATTCCTGGGATAAGAAGGATGTCCTATTGATTAGTTAAGTAAATTAGCCACTGCTATCTAGAGTTTTTAGAAGGATGACTTGTACTCCCATTTCAAGTCCGCAGATTTCCTCTGGTCATTAATGTGGAACAGGAGGGCAGAGCCTCCTAAGGGGTCGATTATTTATACCTTAGAAATGAGGAATCATTTGATATGGGGAAAGGGTGGGAACGAGCAGTCCAGGCAGAAGGTCAGCCATGATCATGCTGAATGATGGTGCAACCTTAGGAGCCATATGGTTTATCATTGTTTTAATGTTTCTATGTGTGGAAGAACACAACACAAATCAGAAAACCCAGACTTTGTTGTCCTATCTCAATTAAGTATTACAAGTAATAATTTACAAATTACTTTTTCGTAATTTATCTTGTTCTTCAGCTTGTATCTATTCAAGAGGCCAGATTGCTTTTGAAAGAAGATGACTACCTGATAAAAGCAGTGTATGATTACTGGGCAAGGAAACGCAAGAACTGCAGGGCTCCCTCCCTAATCCCCTGGGTGAAACAGGAGAAAAGAGATGGCTCCACTAACAATGATCCATATGTTGCTTTTCGAAGGAGAACAGAGAAGATGCAGACCAGAAAGGTGAGCGTGGTTTAATACTTGCAGTTTTTGTAGAGGTCAAATTCCTCCTTTCAAGAGGGGAAGTGAAGATTTGCAGGGCTAGGTGCTTTTCTACGTGTCTTGTTGGTCACATACTATGTGTTAGTATTGATGGAAATTTGGAAACATATCTGCCGTGCTCTGGATATTGTGCAGGACACAATATCTGGTTCAGGAATCAATAAGAATGAACATTACCCTTGCTAGGAAAAATGCTAGATTTGTATGGAGTGAGAATGGATTTGTGTCCAGGGTGCAAAATTGTTGACACAAAAACAGAAATTGCTGGAGAAACTCAGCAGATATAGCAGCATCTGCGGGAAGAAAGCAGCGTTAACATTTCAAGTCAGCAAAGATTGTGAGCAATAAGTGAGATGAGGAGAAACCTCTTTACTTGGAGAGTTATTAAGATTTGGAATGCTCTGCCTGGAAGAGTGATTGAGTTCGCTTCCACCTGAGGTTTCAAAAGAGAAATGGATATATATTTGAAAGTGATGAAGTTAGTGGGCTACGGAAACAGGGCTGGAAATGAGGCTAGCCGGGTAGCTCTTTCAGGCGCTAGTACAAACAAGGTAAGTTGAATGACCTCTTTCTGTACTGTAAAATTCTATGATTCTAAGTCCAGTGATTCTTCATCAAATTGTTGAGTTGGGACCAGGATAGACCATAAATCCTTTGTTTGTGCTGTGGCTAACTTTAGGATATTTAGCATGACTATGAAGAATTGAGGACACTGCTTCTTTTTTTGTTTTCATTTTTAGTCACAGTTCAAAACCAACTGTGTGTTTACAAGTTACACACTGTTAATTTAGTGGGGAAAATGATTCAGCTGCCTACAAGCTTTTTTTCTGTTGATCAGAGTGCTTTTTCTGATGATTACTGTTTTATAAAACATGGATTCTAATTTTTCAAAAACAGAATCGCAAAAATGATGAAGCTTCATATGAAAAAATGTTGAAACTGCGTCGAGAGTTCAGCCGGGCTGTTACCATCTTAGAAATGATTAAGAGACGGGAAAAGACTAAAAAAGATTTGCTTCATCTAACACTGGATGTGGTTGAGAAGAGGTATGATGAGAATGTTTTTTCTAAGCTCGTAAAATATCACCTTAGCAATCAAGACAAAATGTCTCAGAAAAGGAATAAAGCTGAATAGATTATCTGTCAACCTTACAAAGTCCTTTCAAGCATCTCGGTCTACTGCCTGAAATTAGGGGATGTGCAACACCTAGCGTAGCTATACTGTCACAATCGTTTCTTATACATCCTGCCTCAACACCATCATCCTGGGTCTGCCCTGTCCCACCAGTCAGCCAGACGCACCAGGATTGGTGGTATACAGTGGACAGTAGTTGTCCTGAGAGTCCTCGTGAAGTCTTAACAGCATCAAATCAAACAGGTGCAAAGTAAACTCTAGTTGATGACCATCCCTGTGTGTGTCTCTCTTTTATCTATCTTTAGCTGTCTCGGCCTCCCTCCCTCAATCTCTCCCCCTCCCCCCTGCTCTCCCCCTTGCTGTCTTTATTTCTCTCATGCTCCCTCTATATATCTGTTGTTAGGTCTCTCTTTATCTCTTCTTCTACTCCCACTATGTCACTGATCGGTGTTTCATGATGTTGAGCACCACTTGAAGGAAGAACTCACGGTGGCAAGAACACACAATGCACTCTGGTAATGGGAACTTCAATATCCATAATCAAGAATGGCCGTGCAGCACCATTACTGACTGAGGTCGTAAAGTCGTAAAGGATATAACCACTAGACTGGACAGTAGGGAGAGCAAGCAGGAAAGTCGTACTTGACCTCATCATCTGCTTGCCACAGATCCATATATCCATGATAGTATAGGTAGGAGTGATCAATGCGCAGTCATTGTCCTGTCTTTACATTGAGGTTCCCTTTATTGTGACACAGTTACTGTGGAAAATTGAATAGAATTCGAACAGATCCAGCAACTCCAGATCTGCGAGTTACTGTGGGCCGTTAGGAACAGCAGAACAACATCACTACGATTTGTACACTCATGGTCTGGCATATCCCCACTGTACTAATACCATCAAGCTAGGAGATCAAAAATTGCTGGAAAAGCTCAGCAAGTCTGGCAGCATCTGTGTAGAGAAATCAGAGTTAACGTTTCAGCTCGAGTGACCCTTCCTGATTCTAACGAAGGTTTGTCAACGCAAAATGTTATCTGGGATTTCTGTCTGCAGGCCCTGCCAGACCTCCTGAGCTTTTCCAGCAATTTCTGTTTTTGCTTCTGATTTATAGCATCTGCAGTACTTCCTGTTTTTATTAAGCTAGGAGATCAACTCTAGTTCAGTAAAAAGTGCATGAGTGCACAGAGGGAGTAGCCCCAGGCATACCTGAAAATCATGTATCAGCCTGGTGCAGCCAGAACACAGGACTACTTGCATACTGAACAGCAGGGGCAGATAGAGATGGGGTAAGCAATTCCACAGTTATTGGATAAGCTCTGCATTCTGCCAAACCCAGTTGTGAATGGTAATGGACAATAAAACACCCAATAGGAGGAGGGACAGACTCAGCGTGCAAAAGATAAGGCTGAAGCACTTAAAACAATTTTTAGCCACGGACTGAGTGCGTAACCCATCTTGGTTTCAATTTAGTTTCAATCCCTCCAATGGCAGATGTTGGAATTAGAAGCCTAGAATTTAAGAGCTGAAAGATGACTATGAAACCATCTTCGATTGTCAGAAAAACCCATCTGGATCACTAATGCCCTTTTAAGGAAGGAAATCTGCTGTCCTTACCTTGTCTGACCTACATGTGACTCCAGATCGACAACAATGTGGTTGATTCTAAAACTGCCTTCTGGGGCAATTAAGGACGGGCAATAAATGCTGGCCTGGCCAGTGACGCTAACATCCCAGGAATTAATTTGGAAATAAAACACCATTGACCAGAAGCTGAACTGAACAAGCTATGTAAATACAATGGCTATAAGGACAAGGTAGACTCATGCAGTGGGTGACTCACCTCCTGACACCCCAAAGCCTCTCCACAATCTACAAATGCAAGTTAAGAATGTGATGGAATATTCCTCACTTGCCGAGACAAGTGCATGTCCAACAACACTCCAGAAGCTTGACACGATCTAGGACAAAACCATCTGCTTTACTGGTGCCACATCTACAAACATTCACTTTCTTTATCAGCGACACACAGTAGTAGCAGTGTGTACCATTAACAAAACACTACAGATTGACCAGGCTCCTTAGACAGCGTGTTTCAAATACACAACCACTACCATCAAAAAAGACAAAGGCAGTAGATGCATGGAATACTAACCTGCGAGTTCCCCAAGCCACTCATGGCCTTTAGTTGGAAATATGTTGCAGTCCCTACGTTGTCGCTTGGTCAAAATCCTGGAATCCCCTTCCAAACAACCTTGTGGGTCGATCCACAGCAGGTGGACTGCCGTGGTTCAAGAAGTCAGCTCACCACCACCTTCTCGAGGGCATCTAGGGGCAGGCAATAAATGCTGGCAGGCTTGCGATGCCCACATCCCACAAATAAGTATTTAAAAAAAAACACATTCCTTCATTATGGCTGGGTAAAAATCCTGGAACTCTCTCCATAACAGCATTTTGACTGTACCTATACTAAATGGAGTGCAGTGCTTCAAGAAAGCAGCTCATCACCCCATTCTTGATGGCAATTGGGGATGAGCAATAAACGCTGGCCCATTCAGTGAAGCCCATGTCCCCACACACACATTAAAAAATCAACTGATGTCAGTCATAGAAGATAGGAGCAGGAGGAGGCCATTTGGCCCTTCGAGCCTACTCCACATTCATCACAATCATGGCCGATTGTCCAACTCAGTAGTCTAATCCTGCATTCTCCCCATAACCTTTGATTCCATTCATCCCAAGTGCTAAATCTAGCTGCCTCTTGAATACATCAACTATTTCTTCCTGTGGTAATGAATTCCACAGGCTCACCACCCTTTGGGTGAAGAAATATCTCTTCATTTCCATACGAAATAGTCTACCCAGATTGTGACCCCTGGTTGTGGACACACCCACCATCGGGAGAACACCCTCCCTGCATCTACCCTGCCTAGTCCTGTTAGAATTTTATGTCTGTGAGATTCCCCCCTCATTCATCTGAACTCCAGTGAAAATAATCCCAACCTAGTCAATCTCTTTTCAAACGTCTGTCCTGCCATCCCCAGAATCAGCCTGGTAAACCTTCGCTGCACTCCCTCGAGAGCAAGAGCATCCATCCTCAAAAAAGGAGACCAAAACTGCACACAATGTTATAGGTGTGGCCTCACCAAGGCCTTGTATAACTGCAACAATACATTCCTGCTCTTGTACTCAACTTCTCGCAATGAAGGTTAACGAACCATTTACCTTATTTACCACCTGACATGCACGTTGGCTCCCTCTGTAGGAAGTGCTGACTTTTTGTTCTGTTTGAGTAGGTACCATATGGGTGACTTTGGTGGAGCAATTATGAGTGAGCTGAGGACTGTGAAACAGGAAAAGACCATATCCAACACTACAGTGTCTCTTCACAACGGCAATCATTACAAAGTGCCAGAAATCAAAACTGTCAAGGTGAAATTTCCATGTTAAATTTTCCTTTATGCATTCATTAATCAAAATTGTATACGTTAATATTGGAGTATTCTGTATTTTTAGATTTCATATTTGTTCTTCTTTTAGTTCCCAATAGTGAAAAATGATTTGAAGACACATTTCATCAATGGTTTTTATCTTGCACTCGCCAGAAAAAATCATAAGCAAGACATATCAATATAAATGACATTCTCAGTCTGAGAGAAGTGCTGATTGTTTGGTAGAGGTGTTGCCTGGTGTACGCACAAGTTGTTAACCTGACAGTCAACTTGTCAGTTCTGTAGTGCCAAACAGAAACCAAATTGGTTAAGTTAGCACATTTGATTTGAAAAGACTGTTTGATTTTTGGGTAGCCACAGACATTGATCAGCCAGTTATCTTACTATAGCAGTCTTGGACGTGTTCATACTCACTTTGATTTTGTATGTTAATAACTGGCTAAATACTACTTTTAATTTGTAAGTTGCAAGTCTGACAAGTTTTTGCCAGTGTTGCACCCAACTTTAGAATTGCCTTGGGATGTTCAAATCGCCACTAAAATACTTTGAAATTTTCGAAGAAACTGGAGTTCATTGGAAAGGAAATAAAGTCAAAATAAAACCAAAATGAATAATAAAAGTATTTTAAAGTTGTGCGTTAGTAATGTAGGTTTAGTGTGAGTTGTAACATCTTGTGTTCCTTTGTTGCTAGCATTTCAGCATTAATGTTGAACAGCATTCAGTGCAGCCTTGATCAAAGTAGCCAAAACAGTAGAAAATAAATCATAGAAAGTTGAGATGAAGATGCACATTTGCTCTGTTTGGATCAAAAAAAGTGTACAGGCAAGAAAATCAATCCATTCAGCTCATTTTTGTTCATTCATTTAGAAATGCCCTAAAATCCTCCTATTGTTGTATTCAGCTGAATTTTGTCTCTGTTCTAAACGGTTTTTTGCCCCTTGCACTGTTTACTTTCTGTCTTGGTATAAGTTCTGAGTCTACCTTTTAATAGTTTGATTTTACCATTTAAAACACCAATCAAATTTCTTTCCCTCTGAATAGGGTCTCTTCAGGATATCTTTTCAAAATTGATGCATTCAAGTTTCTTTTGTCTCCCGTCATAAATTTGGACCCTTGACTAGTAAAAGTCAGCCCTGTGTGTCTCATGCACTGTCTCGGCATTTAAATGATTTCCTTATATATCAGGAGAATATACAACTACAGTTATTGTATAAGCAGTGTACTAAAATTTGATTGTGATTTCTACTGATTTGTACAGTTTTGGTGATACATGTACGATAAGGATATTGGCTATTTTAACTTGTGAAATACTTTTCTAATTCTCAAAACCACTTTGATGTGCTGAAGAGCTATACGAAACACGTTGTGAAGGGTAAAACAAACAATAGATTAAATAACAATCAGAAGTAGCTTTTTAAAAAAAATCAACATTCCTTGATTGGAATTATGTTTAATTCAGTATAAAATTTTGCAACACTGGTTTTGATTTAAATGTATTATTTTAAATTGTTTTATTTGAACTATTGGATAATTCAAATTTATTTGTAGGTTTAAAAAAAACTACAAATAAACTATGATATATAGTATTTAACAACTTAATTATTTCTGGGAATAAGTACTGCAGCAGTCTTTCCACTGCGTTAGAAGCAATTTAGGGTTTTTAAAAGAATAGAAGAGTATTGATTCAATCAATAGAACAAGATTACTGAATTAATTTTCTGATCAGATGAAAATAATGATGGAGAACAATTAGATGAAAGTTTGAGCTTTTGGAGTATGATATGTTTTGCCACATGGGATAGTTGAGGCAACAAGCAAGATATACAGCTTAGGGAGAAATATGTAATTATGTTTTTAGCAGGAAGATCCAGGATTGTCAGAAGTAAGGCAGTGAGATTAGCCCTGGATTGCTATAGTAGACAACTTTTATGTAGTGAACTTCAGTGGTTCAAACAAAAGTCAATCTGCAGCAGGAATGTAATATTTAAATGAAGAGCTATCATAGCTTGTGTATACTAAACTTGAAGTAAATTAATTTGCTTTCGATTTGCTTTTTAAAGCAGCAGCAGCAGCAGACACATCTGATGTCATGCAAAGAGGAGGCTACTGATACTGTTCATGCAAAAAAGAAGTATGTGAAGAAGAAGCATAAAACATCAGAGTGTGTTGTTTTACACCATCAGGTTAGCTCAGAATCCCAACCAGCCCTGAAGAGGGACATTAAGCAATATGACTTTCTCAGCTCTGATGAAGACTCTTACACCCAGGTATGCTAGGTTCTTTTTCCTCTTACCAAAGCACTGTAATGCACTGTACTGATCATATGGACACAATTAAATGAAAAGTAGGATAATATTGTCTCTACATGTATCTGTACTTTTTGCAAATTTATGCTACAGAGACCAAGCATGACCATCCTCCCTATTTCAGCTAATGTTAACTGGTAATGAGTCTTTCTGTTTGAATTCTGTGTTCATCAAGGTTAGAATCTGAGAAATGCAGTGCCCTTGTCAACAGTGTTAACATCAAGCAGACTAAAAATAAAATTTATTTTGCACTGCTCCTGCAATTTTAATCTGAAACTCAAGTGCACATTCTATAAGCTCATCCATTTTATGCCAGTCTATTTTGTGTATTTGTCCTTAGTGTAATTGCCTTAAATGTTTTGCTTTATGTATATTTACATACATAATTTTATAAAATACATTTTCAAATCATAGAATTTTACAGTACTGAAGGAGGCCATTCAACGTATCATGCCTGTACTGGCTCCCGAAAGAGCTACCCAGCTAGTCCTGTTCCTCCAGCCCTATCTCTATAGCACTCTGAATTCATCACTTTTCAAAACATACATCCACCTTGCCATTGAAACCTCCTGTGGAAATCACTTCCACCACTCTCGAAGGCACTGCATTCTAAATCCTATCAATTCTGAGTAAAGAAGTTTGTCCTCATTTCACTTTGAGCTCTCTTGCTGACGATCTTGAAATTGTGACACCCCACCCCAATACTGATATGCCAGCTAGTGGAAACAGAATATCTTCCTTTATCCTGTCAAAATTGTTCATGATTTTGAACACCTCTATAAGGTCACATTTTAATCTTTGCTGCTCCAAGGAGAATAAGCCAAATTTCTCTAATGTTCCCTTGTATCTAAAATCCCTCATTCCTGGAATCATTCTCGTAAATCTCCTTTGCACTTTCTCCAGGGCTTTAACATCCTTTTCTTAAATAAGTTGCCCAAAAAGTGGAATTTTGATTGCATTATACTTATAGTGAAACTCTATTTGAATTTCTTGAAGTCACTGCTTGAATTTTGATTAGTGTAGAAGGTGATTGAAATGACTTGAATGGTCTTGTTAGGGATGGGAGAGGAAGCCCTGCATGTTAGTAACTGTTCTGGTTAAGGTCAGTGCCCCTTAGATCTAGTGCTGTTATTGGCAGACAATTAATCCAGAGATCCAGGTAATGATCTGGGGTTTGAATCTTACCATAGCAGATGGTGGAATTTGAATCAAATTAGAGGAAATTTTCAATTAAGTGTTGAATGATGACCATGAAACAGTTTTCAATTGTTGGAATAACCCATTTAGCTCACTAACGCCCTTACCTGTTCTGGGTTGTTTTTGACTTCAGACTCCTTTGGGATGTGCAATAAATGCTAACTATGCCCAAATCCCCTGAATGAATTGTAAACATGCTCATTTCGTTTAAAAACCAGTAGTGGTAGAATGTTGATTTCATGAATCCTCTGAAATTTGCCCCACTACAGCAGATAAGCTCACAGGCCTATAGCTACCTGATTTTTGTCTGTTTTTTTTTAAAAACAGCGCATCACATTTGATGTTTTCCAATCCAATGCCAGAACCGCCCCAAAGTCTACTGAATTTTTGGTAAATTACCATGAGCGCATCTGCTATTAACCCTGCCAACTCTTTTAGTCCCTAGGAATGCATTCCATCAGGGCCAGGAGACTTGTCTACCTTTAGCCCTGTTAGCTTGTCCATCACTACCTCATTAGTGATAATGGTAGTTCCTAGGTCCTTACCTGCCATAACCTCCTTGTTATCAATTATTGACATGTTATTGTGTCTTTCACTGTGAAGACTGACACAGAATACCTGTTCAACGCCTTGGCCGTTTTCTCATTTCCCAGTACTAAATCCCCCTCTCATCCTCAAAAGAACCAATGTTTACCGTAGCCACTCTTTTTCGTTTTATATATTTGTAGAAACTTTTGCTATCTTTTTATATCTTAAGCTAGTTTACTCTCATAATCCATCTTCTTTATAGAAATGTAACTGTTGCAATTTGGACTATCTCCCAGCATTATTAACTCATCTTTACCATAAAGTAGCAGTTTCCTTAATGGTAGTGAAATTTGAATCCTTATGCATGATGTCTTGCACATTGTACCATTGCCTTTGTTAAGATACTGCAAAGTAGTACGCTGTCTGATAATTGTATTCTGTTTTCACTCTGACATGCAGTAAATGTCATACTAGAAATGGTTGATGCAATAGTAGTATTTGCATGCTAGTGAAATTGTTCCAACATTAGCACGTACTTTTAACTATTTTCTGTTGAAATATTGACTGCATTTGCTGATACCAGCAAATGCTAGCTATGTGCACTTTAAATCACCCATGTGCATTCAAATGCTTCAGTGATGTGACTGAGCAGGGGTGAGCATGGGAGGAGGGAGAGAGGACTTCACGACTCCTGGGCCCTCCTTGTCGCCCATGCATTGTTGCCTACAGTTGCAAGTGTCAGTAAACACTGCCTAAATATCATGCAAGCCCATACCTATACCACTCCTTCATGGAGAGTGTGGATCAGGGAACTAAAGAACCTGGTAAAACTCTCGTTGCCGTTTTACAGTTTAAAGCACCTTGGGATGTTTTATCCTGTTAAAATTGCTATATAAGTGAAATAAATATTTTTGAGATTCCAAGGACATAATCCTTTTGCGATCAAGTCATGATCAATAGTTCCTTGCTTATTCTGTTTACTCTGAAAGTTAAATTTCAGCACCATTTAAATTTCATTTACTTTTGATCTGGAAGAAATATTTTCTGGATTTCTTGCAACACCAGTCACGGTGTTACAAATAATGGGGAGGCAGGTGTGAATCTTCTAGTGGTGAAATTAGATGGCAGAGTGTAATTAGCAAGGGCATTGAGATATAATTCAAGCCAAATTTTAAAATCATGAAATTTTTAAAAACAAATCTGAATTCCTCTGTCCACATTTTTACTAATAACTATTTTCTAACCTTATCTTTAACTTCAGCATACCGCTGTTACAGTTGATGCAGCTTCATCAATGACAGGAGGGTGCTCTTAACGGCATCCATTAAGTTTACTTTTAGTTTAAGCATTATGTATAGGAATTTAGAAGGCAAACCATTGATTGGAAGCATCTTGGTCTACAGCAGAATAGAAAATCTATTTTTTTAAAAACTGAGGCATAGCTAGACTTCACTTCTATCCTTGTTGCAGTACAAAGACTTATTAGTACACTTTGTTTTTGTTCCACTTCACTGTTTTCCTGTCCAGCAAGCATAGAAAGCAATGTCCATATCTGTTGAGTGAATTAAAAATAGAGAAATAATTAGAGTATGAAAAGCAATGAATATAAGAGACCTGATTTATTTCATAAAATGAAAGGGAAATTGTGCATTTTGTACAATATTGAGATGTGTCATTGTCCTCATTTATTTTCCTGAGGAGAAAATTTGTACACAGTAAGATTATTTGGGAGATTTAGTTTTGTTCCCTCTTAATGTTTTTTAAGTATGGAAACAGCATTGATGGGTTTTTTTTTCCCCCCTTAGGTCCCTTCTCCAGTATCAGAACCTGAAGAAGACAGTGATCCTGATGGACATTTTGCTTTCAGGAGGAAAGCAGGTTGCCAGTACTATGCTGTAAGAAACTATATAAAGTCTTACTTTGTGTGTAACATCTAAACATATAACAGTGATTTGAAATGTCTTCCAAATTAATTATCTGTTGTGTTTGCTGCATGTTGCAAATTTTAAAAAGACAGGACTTTGGAGAAGGGGAGATCATAATTTCAATAAATTAATTTTGAATTTTTTTAATGTATAGAACTTAAAACACTAAAATAGGCTGTTTGGACCAGCTGGTGTTTTATTCTTCAAACGCAACAGCCCTATCGTATATAGGCATTTCTATTTTTGTAGTTGGGTCAACTCTATGCTTAAATAGCAGTAGAAAACCAACTTTGGTTTCACCAGGAATTGTTTCATTCTGAAAACTAAAAGTAGTAGATTTTGTTAGAATGTTATCTCTTGACTAGAAAAGATTAGTCACTTCAGCAGTTCTTGTGCTGTCTCAGAGGATTACAGGACAAGAGGTGTTTGAAGAACATTTCCTGGAGAAACCCAATACCTAATTCCTGCTAATGCCTCCCCATTGTTATATTCTTCGCTGAGTATCTACTTTCCTTTCGAATCAATAATTTATGAGTCAATGACTCCCCATAGTAGAACATACCATGTTTCAGCAACAATCTGTATAAAGAAATTCTCCCTCCCATCATTCTGTTGGTGACAATTTTAAACAACAACCATGTCTTACTCGCTCATGAACCAGAGCAAGTTACTCCTTATGCATTCCAGAAAAACTCTTAATAAGTTTAAATAAAGTAATTAAATCTACTCTGAGCCTTTATGTTCTCGTGGCAATAAATCCAATATCTTAATTAATTCCTTACTGTTGAAATATTTTGTTCCTGACATCATTGTGGGTGAATCCGTGTTTTATGCTGGCTCTAATTCTGTTATCCTCTCCTAAAGAGGATGCCCAGAATCTCTAGAAGTGTTGCCTTGCCCAAAGAAAGAAAGACTTGCATTTAAATAGTTCCTAAGGATGCCTCACTTGAAGGCCAGTGCAATAGTTTTAACGTGGTCACTTGTAACATTAAAAATAGGGTAGCTGTATTTGACCAATTATATTTGCATCATGGATTTATAACAAAAATGGGGTCTGAGAGATTCAGGATTAAAACTGGCATTTATGTGTCATATTTAGCACAAAGGCAGATGGGTTGTGGTTGTCGAAGGTCAGTCACCTCCTTCTTCATCTTGAACTGCTGCAGTCCGTAGGCTGCAGGTAGGCCAGCAATGCTATTAGGGAGGGAATTCTGGGATTTTAACCCAATAACACTGAAGGAACGGTGATATATTTCTAAGTCAGAATTGTGAGTGGCATGGAGGGGAACTTGCAGGAGCTGTGTTCCCATATATCTGCTGCCCTTGTCTCTCTAGTGGAAGTAATTGTGGGCTTGGAAGCTGCTGTCGAAGGAGCCTTAGTGAATTTCTTCAGTGCATCTTGTAAATGGCACACATTTCCACTACTGAGTATCGATGTTGGAGGGAGTGAATGTTTGTGGATGTGGTGCCGATCAAGCAGACTGCTTTGTCCTGGATGGTGTCAGGCTTCTTCAGTTTTGTTGGAACTGTAGTAATCTAGGCAAATGAAAAGTATTCTATCATATACCTGACCTGTGTCTTGTAGATGGTGGGCAGCCTTTGATGAGTCAGGAAGTGAGTTACTGCGAGATTCTGTTATAGCCATTGTCTATATTCAGTTCAGTTTCTGGTCAGTGGTATTCCCCAGGTTGTTAATAATTGGGGATTCAGTGACGGTAGCACTGTTGAATGTCAAGGGATGATGGTTAGATTCTGTCTTATTGGTGATGATCATTGCCTGGCATTTTTGTGGCACGAATGTTACTTGCCATTTCTCAGCCCAAACCTGAATATTGTCCAGGTCTTGCTGCATTTGGACATGGACTATTTGAGTGTTTAAGGAGACAAATGGTGCTGAACATTATGCACTCATCAGTGAATCTTACGATAGAGGGAAAAGTCATTGAAGTAGCTGAAAATGACTGGGCTCAGTACACTACACTGAGGAACAGTACTACAATGGTAATATCTCAGCCCCTAAGACAGGATGCCAGGCTTCAATACCACCTGCTCTAGAGGTATGTAATAACATCTCTGAACAGGTTGATTAGAAAATATCTATCCTGTGAAACTCTGGTACATTGGTAGTTTCCCAACCTCTCAGCTAGAAAGCCTGAGTTCAAGCTCCACCTGCTCCAGAGGCATATCATAACACTTCTGAACAGAGGAACCTTTGTCCTAGAGCTGAGATGACTGGCTTCTAACAATCACAACCATATTCCTTTGAGCTAGGCATGTCTCCCAACAGGAGAATATTCCTTCCGATTCCCATTGACTCCAGTTTTGTTAGGGGTCTTTGAGGCCACTGTAGTCAAATGCAGCCTTGATGTCAAGGATGGTCACTCTTTCTTCCATATGTTAAATCTAATATTAATCTCATCAAATAATCATTTTCTTTTCAGTGGATTCAATAAATTTAGTTTCAACGGTCATCTTTAAAGCTTTTCATAGATCTAAGAAAGTAGAATGGTGAAAAATTAATCATTCATAACTTAAAATGAATAATTATATGTTATAACCTTCTGACCTGTTACAGCCTCACTTGGACCAAATGAGTACTTGTCCATGGGAAACATCTGAATCAGCTGGGCTAAGTGAGTCACGGTATAGATACTGCTTAACTACGCTCACAGTTCCAAGAAGGTGCATAGGTTTAGCACGGAGGCGCATAGGCCGTGGAGGAAGGTATGCAAGATTTTGACTACCTAAAAGAAAATTGAATAGAATTTAGGAGTTGCTGAGAGTGTTGAATCTTTAGCAACTTGATTTGTTGAGGTTGTTGAAAATTTATTCATTCTGATTATCCTATTGAGAGCTTTTATTTAATAAAATGTTAAAATTCAATTAATTTCTTTGAATATGGTATAGACTTATGCACATAATAGTTGTGCATTTGCAAGATAGTTTCAGCTAATGGATTGGCGTTTATCTAATATTGATGATTCACAGCACAATGATTCATTGTTAAGTGGATACAAAATGTTGCTATTTAGCTGGTACTCAAAATAACACAAGTGTAGGTTTATTCAAAATTATTTGTTGTAAATATTAAATATTTCTAATTTTAAAAACATTTCTATAGCTTTGCTGAAGCTAATGTGACAGCCCTGCAGCCTTTTTGTTTTGAACCTTGTTTTGTACCTTGTTTTGTGATTCATGTATGAGGACTCAAATCCCTCTGTTCTGTAGCTTTCTGCAGTCTTTCTCTATTTAAATATTATTCATCTGCTTTATACCTCGTGCTAAAGAGCATAACCTCATGTTTTCCCACATCACATTCCATCTGCCTAGTTTTCGCCCGTAAGCACCGCTTCTGGTCATCCATTTACCCTGTATTCTGACCTATAGGCTTCTGTTTGATCAGCATCTTCCATTACCTTGCTTACAATCTCCCTCAGCCGTACAAATCTATAAATTCTGCATTTCTCCAACTTTGCTCTTTTGCATCTCCTATGCCTTTGTCCCACCATTGGTGGCAGTGTCTTTGGCTGTCTTGGCCACAAACGTTTTAAATCCCTTCTGGAATCTCTGCCTCTTCATTTGTCTGTCGTCTTAAAATTCTTAAATTGTAAGTTAAGGACTTAACGCTGTCATTAACAATTTCTAACTCTGACTGAGCACAAAGATGCAGATTTTATATTTTATTCAGCATGTGTCTAGTTAGAAAGCCAAGCAATAGCCTGATCATTTGCTAAATAAAGTTCTGTAAACTCTTTCAAGTTTAGTCAGCAAACACTCGGCGATGTGAATCAATGTTTAGTCTTGTCCACAGCTGCAGTCTGGATAATCCAGGGGACCTCACTGATACTAGGTTTTTCACAGAGATCTTGGCCAGTCCAGAAACTCATTGAATGGACCCACTGTCACTTTGCGAGATCAAAGCTGGATGGATAGGCAATAAGATCTACAATGAGAAAGTGATTTCTGGTGGATTTTTTCTCCTGCCAATCCTTCCTGTTGGTCCTCAGTGTGGTTAACTGTAGTGGTAGTGCTTGGGAGGATATGCTGCTGGCTGATAATGTCCTTGAATAAGGACAGGGTTAGGTTGGAGTAGATTCTGCAGCTTGCTGTTTGCAATTACACTTGTGCATGGAGATGCCGAAGGCACATTGTATAGATGGAATTTACCCAGGTCTTTGGGGTGGGATTATTACAGGGAGTTAGACTATGCCAGGAATCTGATGTAATCCTGCCCCTTTCTGACTTTCCCAGTGGTTGATTAGGAGTGTAGCGGTGTCACTGAAGCAACAACCAGTTGTAATACTTGAGAAGAGAGATAGTAAGAACTGCTGATGCTGGAGTCAGATAACAGCTTGGAGCTGGAGGAACACAGCAGGCCAGGCAGCATCAGAGGAGCAGGAAAATTGACATTTTGGGAAGGGTCCCAACCTGAAGGTCAACTTTCCTGCTCCTGTGATGCTGCCTGGCCTGCTGTATTCTTCCAGCTCCACACCTTCTTATCTCGAAAAACTTGAGAAGGCATTTAGGAGCGATTTGGAACTCTTGTCTTTTCCATTACAGTTAGTTAGAGAACTTGAGCATTAAGAACCTCTTCCTAAAACTGACAAGCAATGATGAGTTTGACATGTCACGAGAAAGAGCTGTAGTCCTATTCAAGTCCGGGGCTGCTGTACAAAATATTCTTTTGCTAGAAACTGCTATTTGTTTGTCAAGTGCTGTGAAGTGTTTGAAAGACGCTTCACTTACCTTCAACTACACTTTGCTGCTTCCACCCTTTGTAGTAGTTTGGGAGCAGTTCAACTGTCTACATTTGCTCAGCAACAGTAGAAGGGTGCTCAACAGAAAGAGCTATTTCTCGCAACCATGTGCCCTTCCACAGCAAGTCACAGAGATATAGCTGCAACCAGGCATGAACTCCAACACTGGCTATACAAGCAGAAGACAACTGTCTTGGTATGGGGAACATCAGTGCCTCAGGAGGTGCAGGCTTTTGTTTTAAGATGCTGTTGACGTTTTCATTCTTCCTGCTGAATCAAGTGGATAGGTGTTGCCAGTGGCTGACAGGGTGCCTGTCACTGGAGCTCCACCTCTCATCTCTGCCCCTCTGAAAATTGTGTGCTGCCTTCTGCAAGTGGAGAAAACTGGGAAATATAACTGGTGGTAATGATTTGTGAGCAGAGAAAGAAAGGATGCCATTTGCAGAGGCTCACTTGAGTCATGGGTGTAGGAGAACAGTAGGCCAGGAGTAAGTGTGGATATTGGCTACTCAAATGGGAACATGAGGTCTCTTCAGAGTGAAAATGAATCAAAATGCAAGGTATGTTGATACGTTGTGTGTGAGAATGTTATGTAAGCCTAGACTGTAGTGAATTGACATCTGGAAGTTTGGCGGGAGTGGTGTTGTTCCTTTCCAGGTCTCTTCTCCAATCCTTGCCACTTGTGAAGAATTGGCCACAGGCCTTTGGCAAATTGATATTCTTTCTTTCAAAGCCATACAATACTGAATTGTCTTAAACTTGCTACAGTGAATATGAGTGTAGGTGTCACTTAGACCATTGCCTGTCGTCCATCCCTAATTGGGCAAATAATTAATCATGTTGTTATTACACAGGAGTCAGTCAGTGTGTTTATCAGACTATGGTTCAGGTGTTGAATTTCTTCTGACCTGGAATCTGATGGACCCACTTGTTCAAAGAAACAAGAAAAGTAGTCTGCTGTTTATAACCTTTTCTGTTGATTTCTTTGGGTGCCTCTTAGTGATACTGCAGTTTTGGATCTGCAGGACTGCTTTGGGAGAAATGTAAAAGCAGTCTGCCTTCAGAAGGAAACAGCTTGATTGTCCTTCTGGTTTTTTTGAGGGCTCTAGTAACATACAACACTAACTTAAGAACCCAGTTTTCCTCACCTGGTGGGCAGTTTTTGCAGTGGGCATTGCTGTATGGCTCCTAGTGAGAGTTGAAATGTGCAATTTCGCTAGGTGGTTTAGGGTCGCAACATTAAAACATTTTCATTGAAAGGAATAGGATGCTATAGTTATAAAAAGAGATTACAGGAGTTTGGCCATGAACTCATAATCTAATAAATGCCTGGATGCTGACATTTCAGAAACAGCAGATGTCAGAGAACAAGCAAGGCAAGAGTCATAAAGTCTGTACAGCACGGAAACAGACCCTTCAGTCCAACTCGTCCAAATCGACCAGATATCCTAAATTAATCTAGTCCCATTTGACAGCATTTGGTCCATATCCCTCTAAACCTTCCTATTCATGTACTCATCCAGATGCCTTTTAAATGTTGTAATTGTATCAGCTTCCGCGTCCAGCTCTGGCAGCTCATGTTGTACACGCACCATCTGCTGCGTGAAAAAGTTGCACCGTTTGTTCCTCTTAAATCTTTCCCCCTCTCTCCTTAAACCTATGCCATCTAGTTTTGGACTCCTCCCCTGAGAAAGAGACCTTGGCTATTCACCCTACCCATGCCCCTCATGATTTTATAAACCTCTAAAAGGTCACCTTCCAGCCTCCGACACGCCAGGGAAAATACTCCCCAGCCTATTCAGCCTCTCCCCATACCTCAAATACTCCAACCCTGGCAATGTCTTTGTAGACCTTTCTGAACCCTTTCAAGTTTAACAACATCTTTCCTATAGCAGGGAGACCAGAACTGCATGTAGTATTCCAAAAGTGGCCTAACCAATGTCCTGTACAGCTGCAGCATGACCATCCAACTCCTATATTCGATGCATTGACCAATAAGGGCAAACTTAACAAAGATCATCTTCACTACCCTGTCCACCTGTGACTCTACTTACCCCTCTCTAAATCGCCTAATCATTTGATAAAATAGTGATAGTTTATTCTTGAAGAAATTTTTTGAAATAAACTGCAGCTCCCTCCAAAAGAGAGTAAACAGATTGCTATCTCTCTTTTGAGAATGTTTGTACCTTGTTTTCCAGAAAACTTTGGCTTGCAAAATCCTTTTGAAATTGTTTCCCTGGCTCTGATGATGAGTTTGATTGCTGGTGAATGAAAACCTCAAACTTATTTTCACAAGGGCATACACTGGTCACTGCAAGATGCACGTTTATGCACTAATCACCAATGCAGGCGTCAAAATTATCTTGAATTACACTGATTTAACTGCTGTACACATTGTACTTTGTACATACAGATTTCTGTTCAGATACAAATGAAAGTTATTATAAATAAGAAATAAAATCAATTGAAAAGATTTTTTGCATCGTAAACCGTAATTCGTGCAGGTCAATTTCAAGATATTCTGGAAGTTTGTAAGCTTATAATTGAGGGGAGGTTTTTAAAAAATAGCTTCATTTCCTGCAGATTTCTTGGGAACTTGAAAGTATTATTGACAATAATATTTTAACTACTATTAAAAATTGCATGGAGTCAATTTTTGATCTTTTAGAATTGCTAAATTGAAATGCTTCATACAGGATTGTGCTTGCTAGAAATCTGAAATAAACACAGAAGAGGAAATACTCGGCAGATCAGTACCATCTGTGGAGAGCAAGAGTTACTATTTCAGATTGAAAATACACAAAGTGTGGAGCTGGAGGACCACAGCAGGCCATGTAGCATCAGGGGAGTAGGCATTTCTGAAGGAGGGTCCCAAACCGAAACGTCAGTGTTCCTGCTCCACGGATGCTGCCTGGCCTGCTGTGCTCCTCCAGCTCCACACTGTGTTATCTCTGACTCCAGCATCAGCAGTTCTTCCTATCTGTGAGTGAACTATTTCAGATTGGATCTAGTTTTGATGATAGATAATCAATGAAAGGTCAACGATCAGAAACATTAACTCTGTTTCTGACTCTGCAGATGCTGCCAGACCTGTTGAGTAGTTCAAACATTTTGCATTTTTATTTCTGTTAATTATGTTTATCTTTATTCAGAACAAATACTTCATAATACACACACAGTTTACAGCGAGATATTGATAGGTTAAGTAAGTGGGCAAAATGTTGGCAAATGGAGTCTGATGAGAGAAAATGTGAAGTTGTTCATCTTGGAAGAGTGAGCAAAAGAACAGAATATTATTTAAATGAGAAAAACTGCAACCCAAAGAGACTTTGGGGCACTTCTGCATGAAACACAAAGCTAGCACACAGATGCGTCAGGTAATCAGGAAGGCTAATGGAATATTGGCCCTAACTTCAAGGGTGTTGGAGTATAAAAGTAGGGAAGTCTTCTGTAACTGTACTAGGTTCTGGTGAAGCTACATCTGGAGTACAATGAGCAGTTTTGGTCTCCTTATTTAAAGAAAGATACTATTTCATTTGGAGGCAGTTCTGAGAAGGTTTTTGGGTGATCCCCAGTGTGAGAGGTCGTCTTCTGAGCAAAGGTGAAACAGTTGGGACTCTATTCATTGGAGTTTAGAAGAATGAGAGATGATCTCATTGAAACATATAGGATTCTTAAGGAGCTTCACAGGGTTAATGCTGAGAGCATGTTCCCCCTCGTGGAAGAGCCCAGGACAAGAGGGTATAGTCTCAGAATAAAAGGCCATAAATTTAAGACTGAAATGAGGAGGAAATTCTTCATGAGTGTTGAGAGTCTTTGGAACTCCTTGCCACAGAGAGCTCGGGGGGGAAGAGTTCTTGTGTATATTTAAGGCTGAGAGAGATTCTTGATCAATAGGGGAATCAAAGATTGTGGGGAAGAGGTAGGAGAATGGCTTTGTGGAATGTCAGATCAGTCATGATCCTTTGAATCCTACTTGACTCAAGACTGAGTGGCCTACACCTATTTCCTATGTCTTATGGTCTTTGCAGCAACCACCTGATCTTATTTCTTTGTGTTTAGATTTAAAATAGTTTTTTCTCCCCTTCTAGGTTTTTGTTAGATCGTGCATCCACAGATCATGATCATATTCTACACCAAATTGATCCTGAAATGCTGTCATCTCCTAGTTCCCCAGCTGCTTTTTCGTCTGATGACTCATGGATCATTTCTTCCAATAAAGACTTTTCAAATAGACTGTCACTTAGTGAAATACTAAGCAATATCAAAGCATGCCGATTACGGCACTTCCAGCCTCGGTTGTCCCCGCTTCAGGACAGTGATAACCACAGTACTTCCAAAAAATTAGGACAAAATGTGAATAAAAAAAGAATTCCAGTGTCTTCTATTTTAACATCAAGTACCATGATCACCAGTAGGAATAAGATATCTGGTGAGTAATGCAGCTTATGTAAGTCTTTCTGTTTCAGTGAGACCTGTGATTCCTCTAGCTTTTAACCATAGAATTTGCAGATTCTGAACAGTTGGTTGGAAGTAATTACAACAGTAATGTTCAGATTTAAAATAAGCTATTTTCCTCTTGCTTTTTTTTTTCTCGTTCCCCCTTGTTCTTTTAATTTAACTTGTACACATATTTTCTATGTATATGCACTATAGTTTCATTTGTTTCATAATATATTTTCCCCTGGGGTTCGGTTATCTCCATTGACTGGACGGCTGGTTTGCAAATCAGAGTAACACCAACAGTATGGGTTCAATTCCTGCAACACCTGAGGTTACCATGAAGGACTGTCCTTCTCGATCTGGGGTTAAACCAGTTTTCTGTCTGTCTAATGATAGCAACCCTATGGTCTGCTAGGATTATGACAACTTTACCTTTACACTTTGCTCTGCATGTACCACCTTGGAAAATCATTTTAATGTGTACATTGAACTCCATTGCATTAACCTGTAAATGTTTTTAAAAGTCTGAAATATGTCACTTTGTCCTTTGTAAACATAAAAACATTAAAAATTTAATCTTCAACTGCTATTAAAATATATAAACTTTTTCCTTTTGTAGTGATGGGCGGTATAACGGAAGAGCAATACCACACGCATCAACAACAGCTTGTTCAAATGCAGAGACAACAGTTAGCGCAGATGCAGCGTCAACAATCTCAACATTCCTCAAACATCATCAATGAAAGCATACAGGTAACTTACTTGAATTTTTTTATATTTTATGCTCCTCCAGGTGACAGGTGTGTACAACAACTTTGCTGACTTTGGATTCCAATTTTCCATTCACCAGTGTTTCGTTTGACCATTGCTGCGACAGAAATAGTGTAGTTATGTCTGTTATCTGCCTTAACAAATTAAGTTAATCTTTCTTCTAAGAGCACATTAAGAAGCTCTGATCTGTATTCTCATTCATCAATTGCCATAGGAACATTGCACTAATTGATTACTTGTTAATAATGTTGCAGTGTAGGCATGGAGATAAAGGTAACATATTAACTCATCAGACTTTCAGTTCATAAAGAGATGCTCCATTTTTGGTAGTTAGGTTTTATGGATTTGGTTGTCTATTGTGTAAGATTCCTTAAGTTCAGCACCACTTCTCATTCTTCATGAACTAAAATCCTTCCTATCTAGGTAGATGTAGTGAGGCCCAGGGAGTTTACGAGTATAGTTGTTTTTCTGAATTTATTTCATTTTTGTTGGGGGCTGCCTTGTGATCTTCTGCTTGGAAAATGATTGAATATGTTATTAGGTCATTGTTCAAGTTATAAATTAATAAATTTACTAATAAGGTGATTAAGATTTGCAGCAAATATGGATTTTATGAGGTCCTCTTGGAATCAAAAAGAATGAAATTTACCTTATCCTAACCCTTGATAAACAATCTTTATAAACATAGTGGAAGCCTATGTGATTGTGTCCCATTGCTGAGTTTCTGGCTAGTCTAGCAACTCTGATGTACAGACTGATCTGTCTTCTTACAATACCACTCTAGCAAGAGCTCCACATTCTTTGAAATGTTCTAAAGCAAAGAATACTAAATTATTTTTCATTGTTCTTTCTTATTGCTTAAAGATCACAGGAATCCAAATGGAGTTTGGCAACAGTTTTTGTATGAACAAAATCCCAGTTATTTACTTAAAAAAAAAAAGCCTCAAGATTCCACTGTTTAAAACAATAATCTTTAACCAGACAGATGCAACAAAGTAAACACTGAAAACAATCTATACTATAGTTTAACATCCATAATTAACGTAAGTTAATTATGAATTAATAGGCAAGTCGTAGTTGAATATTACCTATGAATTGGACATTAACTGACAGATACATCTAAAATAAACTTCTGAATTATGGGAGGCAAGGGATTGGCTTTCAGCAGGCTTAGGGAGTTGTAAGGATTACCTTCATTTCACCCTATCAGTGTATCCTGTTCATTTCTCCCTTGTGTGCCTGTCTAACTGTCCTTCTCTTAAAATCTGCTTTGAAAATATTTTTTAGGGATCCAGGATATCTGAGGGCTCTTCAAAAACGCTGGATTCAGCTAGTGCCCACTTTGCTGCATCAGCAGTAGTTAGTGCTCCTGGACCAGGTCAAGCAGATGTTTCTAAGGACACTGCAGGTCATACTACAAACATGAATGGTGTTGTTCAGACTCCAGGTATTGTACTGTTATCCAGGTATTTGCTTTTTCTAAATATTAACAAATGACTTCCAGCAAGTTTTTCTTCGGTAATTCAGATATTTAACGAATACACACTTGCTGATTTAAGGTTAACAGCATGAGTAGCTTCTCTCCCACTTCTCCGTGATAAGAATAGACTCTGCAGTATATCTTTTACCAAACCAGGCTGTCAGTTGAAAGGATAACTGAACCCTAGTTTTAAAGGATTTCAAGCCTAACTGTGCATTATTCCTTTCTGACTCCATCAACAGAATGTAGGCTGAGTCGGAAATTGAAAGCAGGCTATCTTCATTTCCGAGTAACAGTGTATATTCAATATCTTTGATATTTTCTTAGAATAAATTCACTCCTTAGTGACCATCTTATCTGGTGTAGGTGATCTCCTGATTCATGTAATTATTTCAACCAAGTAGTAGTTGGAAACGATCGTTTAGAACAATACTTATCATATGAAGTAGAAACTTTCCAGCAGCACTCTTGTTCCATCAGGTTCTCTAAGAAGTCATTACTTTAATAACAGGATTTCAATATCAAAACAGTGATACAAAATTTGCATCTCTTACCTGCATTATTCAGCTGAATGTAAACAATCCCATTATTACCTCACCCATTGATATGAGTGAAGTTTAATTTACTTTAACAAAGTGGAACTTGTCTGCAGTCAGTTGAGGCCCATCTTTTATTAATTTGTAACAACAAATCTCTTAGTTCACTTCTTGTTATAATTTATTTGTTCATGGAATGTGGGCAACATTAGCGGGCGCAGAATTTGAAGTAATGGTGTATTGCGATTTTCAACCACTGCAGTCCATGTAGAGCAGATAAGCCCACAGTACTGTTAGGAAGAAAATAAAACTATAACATTGTATTACCAGTGTTAATCATTGCAGCTTTTGCAATTTGTTATAAATTCAATTTTGTGCCATGGTAGCAGAACTTTTCTTCTGATCTGAAGCTATGGTTCTGTCTTTCTGGACAAACATTTTCCATTTATAGAAGTCAGGTCAGGTTTTTTTTTGTTGTAGAAATAATGTTTCCTACTCTTGCTTTTTAAGAAGATCTATGCCATAACTTTGGTATACCAGAGAAGCAAATCACACAAGTTTAATTCTTGGCAGAAGTTTTTATAAAAGATTGTGGCAATTAAATGCTTTGCACATTATCTCAAGTTCTCTGAGGGACTAATTGTTCAAAGTTAGAAAAAAGCTTTTTCTCTGTTCAGACCCAGACTGCTGGAAGATGGGGCTTTAATGTTGACCTCCATGCTGTCCACCTAAATTACTTAGCCCAGTGAAATTCGGTGCTAAAGAAGGTGTTGAGTACACGATTCTTGGTATGATGACATTTTCTTGGAATAAATTTGAATATGACAGACAAATGTCTAAAATTTAATTCCTTAACTTAATGTAAAGTTAAGAATCTCACGTTATTGTTCAGCTTCTGTTGAATAAGAAACCTCTGTTTACATTCTTTATTATGAATACTTCTGTTAGTTTTTTTTATAAGGCATAATTTTCTTTTAAAGATGTAACAGTTATGGTTGTGTTGCTGCAATCATTAGTGATTAAGATGAAGCCATGTTAAATGTTGAAGCATGCTAGATAAAATGTGTACTTGAGTTTTCTCTGACTACCAACTAACCAACTAATCTGAGAGAAGCTAACAGCGAAACACTGTAGTTGCTGCAAAACTGAAGACAACAGAAAATGATGGCACTGAGTTGATCAGGTAGCATCATTGAGAAAAAGAAAGAATTGACACTTAAGTCTTTGTCATATTTGTAAAGCAATGTAGCCCTTCCCATAGAGAACATGAGATTCAGAATTGACAAGATGTAGAACGTGCCACCTGTATTTAGTTTAAAAAAAAAAATTCCAGTTTTGATGCAGAGTCTAATGGTCTCTTGGTTGGTAGACTCCATCATGAACAATATATAAACAATTAATCCTGTTAACTCTCCATTTAATATTTTAAAAGTAACAACCTGTCATGTAATTGTTGTTTTTCCATTTACTGGTGAGTATAATACTAAAATAATTTAAAGTTTAAAGTTATAGGTTGGAATTCTAATTATGGTTCATTTTTAAATTTTTTGTTGAACTTCTGTTATAGACTCAGAGTCATACAGCACAGAAACACTCCCTTTGATTCAACCAGTCCATGACGGATATAATCACAAACTAAAATTGTTCCAACTGCCTGGCCCATATCCCTCCAAACCTTTCCTATTCATGTACTTATCCAAATGTCTTTTAAATATTGTAATTGCACTCACATCCACCCCGCTTCCTCAGGAAATTTATTCCACACGCAAACCACCCTCTGTGCTTAAAAAAAAAAATTGCCCATCATGTCTTTTTTAAATCTCTCTCCTCTCACCTTAAAAATGTGCCCCCTCGTCTTGAAATTCCCCCCCCCAGGGAAGAGACAACTGCCACAAACTCGATGCTCACTGGAATGTAGTTAAATGTTAGTGGTTGAAGTACAGTAAAACAAAACCAAAGTAACAGTTAATGGTATCCACTTGCCATTCACTACTGCTGTACAGTATTGCTGTGAGGTAATGAATTTTTTTAGAAGAAACACAGAGACTTAATACAGGCTCAATGGTACAACTTTTGAGGCTGTACAGGAGCAGAGGGACTTCGTGGCTCACATGCGTGAGTCTCTAAAGATGGCCAGGCAAGTTGAAACAGTTGTTAACACGGCTTATATGATTCTTGGGTTTAGATAAAGGCACAGAATGTAAAAGCAAGGAAGTGATGCGACACCTCTACAAATCATTGGTCAGACCACATTTTGAGTATTGTGCTCAGTTCTGGGCATCTTATTTAAGGAAGGATGTTTTTAAAGCCTGGACAGAGTGCAAAGGAAATTTACTAGAATGATACCAGACATGAGGGATTTTAAATACAAGGAAAGATTAGAAAAATTAGGCTTATTCTTCTTACAGCAGAGAAAATTAAACGGTGACCTTATTGAGGTGTTGAAAATTATGAATAATTTTGACAGGGTGATGAAGGATATTCTGTTTCCACTGGTTAGTATGTCAGTAACCTGGGGTCGTAATTTCAAGATTGTCAGCGAGAGAGCTAAGACTAAGATGAGGAGTAACTTCTTTACTCAGTTGTTAGGATTTCAAATGCAGTGCTTTTGAGAGTGGTAGAGCGAATTCTATTAGAGGTTTCAAAAGAAGGCTGGATGTGTATTGGAAAATGATGAATTTGGGGGCAATGGAAATGGGGTTAGAGAGTGGGATACACTAGGTAGCTCTTTCAGGAGCTGGTACACAAAGATTAGGGGAGCTTCGGATAATGAGGAGATTGCCAAAAGATACAGCAGAATATTGATAGGCTGGAGATTTGGGCAGAGAAATGGCAGATAGAATTTAATCTGGACAAATGCAAGGACGTGCATTTTGGAACGTCTAATACAGATGGGAGGTACAGTAATTGGCACAACCCTTAGAAGGTAATGTACAGAGGGATCTAGGTGTCCTGGTTCACACGTCTCTGAAAGTGGTAACACAAGTGGATAAGTTGGTTAAGGTGGTGCATGGTGTGTTTGCCTTCGTCGGTCAGGGCATAGAGTATAAAAATTGGCAGGTCATGTTGCAGCTGTAAGAACTTTAGTTTGGCAACATTTGGAATATTGCGTGCAGTCTGCTCGCCACACTACCAGAAGTATGTGGAGGCTTTCTAGAGGGTGTAAGAAAGGTTTACCATGATATTGCCTGGTTTGGAGAGTATTCACAATAAGAATAACAAACTTAAGTTTGTTTTCACTTGAAAGTTGGAGGCTAGGGGCAACCTGATCGAAATTTACAACGTTATGAGAGGCATGAATAAAATGGGTGGTCAGAGTCTTTTTCCCAGGTAGCAATGTCAATTACTTGGGGATATAGGCTTAAGGTAAAAGGGGATAAATTTAATGGAGATGTGAGAGACAAGTATTTTTTTACACAGAGATTGATAAGTGCTTGGAATGTGCTGCCAGAGGAGATGGTAGAAGCAGATATAATGGTAAAGTGTGAAAGGCGTCTTGACAGATACATGATAGACAGGGGATAGAGGGATATGGACTGAGTAGAGGCAAAGGGTTTTTATTTTGGAAAGGCATCATGTGTCAGCCCAGGTTTGGTGCGCCATCGGGCATGTTCCTGTACTGTACTTTTTTGTTTGTTCTAAGTAGGCCTGCTTTAGGCCTTTCTCTTCCCTTTAAAATATTTGTCATCTGCCTTCATTCAGAATTTTGACTCCAAGATTTTAGCATGCATTGATTGTAAACCAACTGGTGGTGTTATGTTCTGGCATTGTAATGTTACAAAACCAAGTTTCTGCAGCTGAGAGAAATTGTGGGAGATTTGTAACTTGTACATCTCTCTCAGTAGCTTCCTTATCTAGAAATTGGAAGCATGTATAATAAGCTGGAGGTTTCTGAAAGTTCCTATGTTTGAACTGTCTGTATAAAAATATTCCTTTTGCTATTCCATTTCAAAATTCTAATATTGGGTCATTTTGAGTTTGTGCAGAAGCAAGTGAGGAATTAAAACTACTTCACTATTTGTATGCATAGAAATTAGCCATTTTTAAATTGATGTTCTTGCTTCTTTTAACAGGCACTTATCGGAATCTTCAAACCTCCAGTGCTACTTCCTCCTCCAGTCCAGGGTTATCTACTGTACAAATTATAAGGACTGTCAGTCGCACCTCAACAAATCATGTGTTACCCGCATTGCGCACAAGCAGTCCCCAGTCATTTCCAGTGAACAATCCCTGTATAGGAACTGCTATGCGGCTGAATAGTATGAATGTGGTTACTCCTGTCAATGTGCATCTCAGTGCAAGGACTTCAGCACCTTCTCCTTCTGCCTTAAAGCTGGCCACAGCTGCTACCAATCTTGACAGGGTGCCAAAAGTGACCCCTAGTAGTGCCATCAGTAGTTTGTCTAGGTAGGTAAAGAAATTCAATGTAATTGTGTTCTAAAGGGGTATAAGTGGTTCCTGAGAATAAACTTTTTACCTGAGACATGGAGATAAGAGATCTTTCTGCAACTTGTGAACGTGTACTTTATTTGGAAAAAATTAAATCCATGTTGGGAGCAGTGATGTAAGTTTATTGAAGTCAAATCAGATTTTTTTCCCTCATTGAGGTAACTGCAATGACCCCTTTGCTTTGTAAACTAAGTGATGTGCAACAGGTGTATATTAATAGGGCAAGAGGAAAGGAAGAGATATCTAGAAAGTGAAATTGCATAATGCAGCTTTTGTATCATTTAAGGCATTCCCCTGAGCACCATTGTGGGGGCGGGGATCGGCTTGTTAAAACTGCATTGATTTTAAAATGTTGGATCAGTACTGAATCTATTGGGTAACTTGTCTGACGTTTATAAGTGATTTTACATTTTCCGCAGTTATTCTGAGGGATATTGAAGTGCTGCCATTGTCCTGTATATATCTACAGTTCCCTAATTGCCTTTTATTCTTCATTTGGATTAATGGTGCTAATGTATGATTTCAGTTATATTTGCAGACTTTAATTTACCCTTTGTAGTGTGCCATTTGGACATTGTTTTTCTTACAGCGCTAGAGGATTAACTATGCTTTCCCTTCAGGATTATTCTAAAATCATAACTAATAGAATAATTAAACCTCAGGAAAGATTTACAAGACAGCAGTTTTATTGTAGGATTTGGCGATTCATACATCTGGATAAGTTTGCAACCGTTGAGTTAATTCTATGATTAAAGTGTGCAGTGAACTTCATTGGGTTGAGGGGATGCGGGGAGGCAAGGATAATATTTGCTTCTCAAAAATGCCACCAATGTAATAAGAAATTAATGATTGACGTACAATTTGCTAAGTGGTAATCAGTTGGGAAATAAATTTGCTCATCCGATTTAATAAAATTGGATTTGTACAGCATAAATTAAAAGTGTGATAGAAATAGTCAATAGAGATGATGTGTTTTCATTGCTGGTTGGACTACCAATATTTGAAAGTAAACTACTTCAAATTAATTTTGTTCTTTAATATTGCAATCTATGATCTGAAAGTGTTCCTTAGATTTTCTTTTAGGTGGATTTACAAACTTACTTTTATCTATTTGCTTTGCTTTTTCAAAAATCATGTTGTACAACTGTAATATTTATACAAATTAAACGTCATTTATTTTCTTGCAGGGAGAGCAGTGAACCAGAGAGACTATTGAATGGTATTGCAGATAAAACAGTAGCAATGGAAGTGACATAACATCCACCTACGCATCTCTTCTAAGATTTAGTGATGGAAATATTGCATTCTAGAAAGAATGCAGAATAAGGCACCCAATCAATTGCAAGTACTAAATGTGGACCTGAATGGTATCATATCATTAATGTAAAATTCTGTCTATATATAAATGTAAATTTTGTAAAGTTCAGGTGATCACTACCTTGTACAATAGTTTATTTGTATCATCATATGTATTTCTGTTACTTGAATACTAGATATTCATCATGCTTTGCACTTGAAATTACAACAGAATGAAAATGACACAAATCTATGGGATCATGAGCATGAAATTGGGATCCTTTTGTCACTTGTTTTAACTATTTATTTTGCCATGTTTACATTTTGTAACTTGTACAAATCAACTTTGTGCTTAAAGAAATTTAAAGATATTTAGGTAGGCCATGTAAATCCTTGTCATTTTTTGTACATTGTAAAGTTTTCACATTTTTTTCTCACAAATTGAATAGATGGATGTTTGGTAAATACTAAGTGACATTTCTTGATCAGACATTTAAGTCAAGACAAAAAAAAAGTATTTTCTATTGTTTTGGAGGGTGAGGGTTGTGAAACAGAATTGAAGATTATTGACTTCCATCTTGCTCCTTTTCCTGTGGCTACAAGGCAAGTAACAGGTTGGAAAGACTGTCTGACTTTTGTGTTTGGACTCCTTTAGTATAGTGTTTTTTTATGAGTTTATACAATTACTATTACATAAGCCTTTTCAACAGTATTAGTATTGGAATGTTAGTGTCAGCACTACATCAGACAACTTCCTTGTTACTTGATCTTGTTAAGTGAAGAGAAATGCAGGGAAATTAAACATACATATCAGAATATCTGTTTGGTCTAACATTATTTCACAAAGCAGGGGACATATTGCTAACCTAAAGATTTTGATTTTACTGCAACTGAATCCAAACGTTAATACATTCTTTGTACATGTTTTTGAATTGATATTATTTAGAGGAAAGATTTTGTTGTAGTTCTGGTGCATTTCTTACTGCATTGCCTTGTCCGAGGCATGTGTCTGAGTTTCTGGAAGAAGGTGTAATGAAAAGAACTTGGCAGTACACCTTGGATAAGCAGACTTAACAATAGTTGAGACAAGGATCTGAGTTTTCTGTTATGGGCACAATCTGTCATGTGTCCAAAGTGTGCAGGTCTGTATTGTCAGAAGTGAAGTTAATGCTCGGATTTCCATGCAAGCTTCTAAGCATAATCTGAATGCAAAATCTGCCATGAACTGGCACATCCAATGATTGTAATCAATTCTTGACTAGAACAGAATATTCTCTACCATCACGGGGGAGGGGGGAAATTGCCTGGAAATGAATCATTCTTCAACTGACTGATCTACTGTTCTTAATGATCTGAAATTGATTGATTTGTTAATCTCAATTTGGTACATGAGCCTCATGACCAGCAGTCATTTGAATTTTCACGTTTCCTATGCAGTAATTGACTGAGTTTGGACTAATTTAAACATACAGTATTTGCAGCAGCAACAGGCAAAACGAAACTAGGTCTGGATTTGTATAACCATGAATGCCTGTGTGCTTGACAATCTGAAGCAAACCCTGTAGTCAGGTGCAATCAGCATAAACTTGCCAAATCACTTCAGGAATATGGTCACTTCTACACTGCTTTAGACAATGGATTTTTGAACTAGTATGAATTATAACAAATACTCTCTTACAAAGCAGATGTGGGGAAAATGACATTCTGTAATCTTGCAACACTTTTTTTTCCTTCAACTCAACTGCTAGCTTACTGAAAAATCTACATCACAAACTTTATTGAACCTGTTGTTGATTGGGTTCTCTTCTGATTCAAGGAGACCTAATACCCTTTTCAACCATGCACTCAGTTTTTAATTCATATTGTCTGTCAAAAAACTTTTCTATTTCCAGGTTTTTGTAACAGTGCCTGCCTCTGGTTTTATACTCGTCTGTTGTTGAACCCAAATGCCTTTGTCACCTCCTGTTTTGACTACACTAGTGCTTTCTTGGCTAGTCTCCCATTCTTCAATTCCAAACATGAGCTCATGCAAGATGCTATTGCTTTTGTTCCTATTCTGTATCTAGACTCCTTTATAACTTGCTATACTGTCCATTTAATTGAACGCAATGAGATATTTTGATGTTGGCATAATGTTTTTACTCATACATTTGATTTACAAAACAAATCAGTTTTAAAATTCAAAATCATTTTCATTCAATCTTGTAATTGGCAATATACTAAAACAAATTGTTGTGAACCACCTCGGGGCTTCAACTGTTGATGGTAAAACAGAAACATTCCAAACATAATGTTTGTGTCTTGTATCATAATGCAAAAGCTATTGGTAAACCAAGCACAACAGCCTTGTGAGCAATGGTAGAGCTTGTGGAATTAAGGGACAACAACAATGTGGATACAAAATTACTGAGTGAAAGGAAACAATACAGTTATTGGATGTTTTCTGGGACAGTGGAATGTAGCCAAGCTCCCCAGGCATCAATGCTGAGATCCTTGTTTTTTCTTTTTTGAATTCACTCATGAGCTGTGGCTGTTGCTGGCTGGCCAGCATTCATTGCCCATCCCGAGATGCCCCTGAGAAGGTGGTGGTAAGCTATCTTCTTGAACTGCTGTCTGCTGCAGTAGGTAGAGCTACAGTGCCCTTCAGGGGGAATTCCAGGATTTTGACCCCGTGACAGTGAAGGAATGGCAATTATATTTTCAAGTCAGAAAAGTGAGTGGCTGGGGGTGGGATCATGCAAGTGGTGGTGTTCTCATTTATTGCCTGTCCTTGTCCTTCAAGCTGGAAGTGGAAGGTTTGGAAGGTACTGTCTTGAGGATTTTTGGTGAATTTCTGCATTGCATCTTGAGGATAGTATACACTGCTGCTCTGCTCCTGAGCGTTAGCGATGGAGAAAGTGGATGCTTGTGGATATGGTACCAATCAATCAGGCTACTTTATCCTGGATGGTGTCAAACTTGTTGAGTGTTGTTGGAACTGCACCCATCAAGGCAAGTGGGGAGTATTCCATCACACTCCTGAATTTTGCCTTCTAGGTGGTGGACAGGCTTTGAGGTTTCAGGAGGTGAGTTACTCATTGCAGTATTCCTAGCCTCTGACCTGTCTTGTAGTCACTGTATTTATATGGCATGTCAGTTGTACCCCTCAGGATTTTGATTGTGGGGAGTTCAGTGATGGTAATACGATTGAATATCAAGTGCCAGTGGTTAGATTGTTTCTTACTAAAGATGGTCATTGCCTGACATTTGTGTGGTGCGAATGTTACTTGCCACCTGGATATTGTCCAGATCTTGTTACATTTGAACATGGACTGTTTCAATATCTGTTCAGCACCATTTGAGACTCCTCCTGGCAATCATCCCCATTTCTGAACTTATATGAACATAAGAAATAGGAGCAGGAATAGGCCATCTGGCCCCTCAAACCTGCTCGACCATTCAGTAAAATCATGGCAGATCTTTTTCATGGACTCAGCTCCACTTACCCACCTACTCACTATAACCCTTACTTCCTTTACTGTTGAAAAATCTGTCTATCTTTGCCTGGAAAACATTCAACAAGGTGGCCTCAACTGCTTCACTGGGCAGGGAGTTTCACTGATTCATGACCCTTTGGGAGAAGATGTTCTTCCTCCAGCTCAGTCCTAAATCTGCTCCCCCTTATTTGAGGCTATGCCTTCTAGTTCTAGTGTCATCCACCAGTGGAGACAATCTACGTACTTCAGTCTTATCTATTCCCTTCATATCCTTTATATGTTTCAATAAGATTCCCCTCATTCTGAGGGAAGGTCATTGATGAAGCAGCTGAAGACAGTTGGGCCAAGGACATTATCCTGAGGAACTCCTGCAGAGATGTCCTGGAGCCGAGATGATTGACCTCCAACAACCACAACCATCTTTCTATGTGCCAGGTATGACTCCAACCAGTGGAGTGTTTTCCCCCGATACCCATTGATTCCAGTTTAGGGCTGGCTCCTTGATGCTGCATTTGGTCAAAAGCAGCCTTGATGTCGAGGGTTGTGGCTCTCACCTCCCTCTGGAATTCAGCTCTTTTGTCCAAGGCTGTCATGAGGTTAGGAGCTGAGTGCACCTAATGGAATCCAAACTGGGTGTCACTGAGCGGATTATTGCTGAGCAACAGACTTGTGAGCAAAGGTAGAGCTTGTCGAATTAAGAGACAACAGCAATGTGGATACAAAATTAGTTGAGTAAAAGGAAAGCACTAATAGCACTGTTGCTGATACTTTCCATCATTTTACTGAGGATCATGAGTAGGCTGGTAGGGTGGTAATTGGCTGGGTTGGATTTGAACTGTCGGTTCTGTTATAATTGTGTTTCTTCAATGCAAATTGGCTTTAACATGATTGAAGAACTTAGACCGCTATTTGTAGAATGCAAACTTTCCTTACCTGCATTGGCTATAATGTGATTCCAGCCCCATTAGTTTAAATGGCGCAGCTGTTGCGCGATTTTCTTATAAGGTCGCACAAGAATGGAATTATCATGTTATATTGGAACCAACTGTACTGCTTTTTGTTACAAGACATATCTGGGCAGGTTTCCACATTTTTGACAGTTGTAACTGTACTGAAACAGCTTGGCTATCAGGGTGGCAAGTTCTGGAGCACAAATCTTCAGTATTATTGCTGGAATGTTGTCAGCACCCATAATATTTGCAGTATCCAGAACCTCCAGCCATTTCTTGATAACACATGAAGTGAATTGAATTGGCTGAAGACTGGCATCTGTGCTGGGGATTGTATATTAATATGAAAGGACATAGACAAATTGGTGGATTGGGTGGCTAGATGGCAGCTGTTCAATGCAGCTAAGTGAGTGGTAACATAAGAATGCAGAAAACGAAAGGTTTCAACTCTGAAGGGAGTGGAGGAGCAGCGGGACCTGTAAATCATTAAAGATGATATTTCAGGTTGAGAGCAGTTCGCAAAGCAGAGTGTTAGAGTGTGAGGCTTGAAGTTATATAAATGTTAATTCAGCCTCTGTTGGGGCATTGCATCCAGTGCCTTGTAAGAATGGTTCCAGGGATGAGGAATTGTAATTTATGAAGTTCAATTGAAGAAGTTGGGACTGTTGTCCTTGGAGAATAGATGGCTGAGAGGAAATCTGATTGCAGCATTCAAAATCATGAGCTGTCTGGACAGTACGAAGAACGAGAAGATGTTCCCACTCATGAAAGGATTGGGAGCAAGATGGCACAGAGATCAAGAAATTAGTAAAAGAAGCAAAAGTGATAAAACAAGTTGTTAAGGTCCAGGGTATTCTGTCTGAGTGTGTGATGGAACAAAGGAACACTAATCAACTATTCAGCCCAACAAGCTGCCTCTGCCATTCTGTATCATGGCTGATCATCTCATTACTATTTTCCTGCACTGTCTTAGGTTTCTGCAGACTACTGACATTCAGGAATACTATCAGTTTCTGTCTTTGACTGGCTCAGTGATTGAGTTTCTACAGCTTTCTGAAGTAGAGAATTCCAAAGATTTAAGACTGTCGAGTGATGAATTTCATCCACATCCCAGTCTTAAGTGGACAGCCCCTTACCCTGAGATTATGTACCATAGTGCTAGAATCACCAGCTGCTGAAACATCCTATTTGTATCCACACTTGACCAACCATATCGTGCTCTGTAAGAATTTTGAGTTTGTGAGATTGAGAGATAATCTTTGAAACTGTAGAAAATACAGACCCAGTTTTCTCAATTCCTCATAAGACAACCTTGCTGTTGCAGGCATTAATCTGGTGCACCTCTATGACACTATGTCCTTTACGTACATGAAGAAACAAGAACTCTACG